GCGGCGCCAGGCGCACGTCCTGGGGTCAGCCCCCTTGATCTCGGCTCATCTCGGCTCATCTCGGCTCATCTCGGCTCATCTCGGCTCATCTCGGGCCAGGCGCATGTCTTGGGGTCGGTCCAGCCTTGCCGCTACACGCTGATGGCCGCGGGCACGCCGCGTGTCTTCTCAGCGCACTGGATCGGGCTGCTCGACCTCGCGAGTGGTGTGCTACCTATCGCAGTCACTCTACGCTCATAGCAGCTTGGCACGCCCACAGCAGTTGTCTCCGCCACGGCATCATGTCACGCCGTGGTGCCGCGCTATCAGGCCGCAGCGCCGTCGCCTCGACTGCGGCGCGAGAGGTGGCGGGGGCCGAGCGCAACACGCGCGCGTGGGGGAGCGCAAAGGCGGCCGCGCCAGCCGACTTGGACGTGGATAGCGCTCTCTTGCTCACTCAGGCGTGGCGGTCGCTCATCAAGTCGTGGTGAGAGGCAGGCCGCGCCTCACTCTTATGTCAGTGTCGTGTACACAAACAGAGCTCGCTCGCGCACAAAGCAGAGCTTTCCTGTTTGTTGGCAGGCCCCAGATCGTTGCGCTCGACCGCGTCCGACTCCACACACAGTCCCTCCGCGCCGTATAACTCTAAAGGGGAAGAGGACCCCCCCCGGGACGGCGGGGGAGTTCGCGACAGCACAGGGGTTGTGCGCCATCAAGCCCTCCTGCTCGGATCCAGCGAGTAGACAAGTGTTGCCATCAACAGAGGAGAAGGATATGACCTCAGGGATGATGTGACCAAGCGCTGGTAGCGTGGTTTTAATGGTCTCACAGTGTGCCGGCAGTCGCCACGCAGTGTCGCTCACACACAAGCCGCAGCCTCGCGCAGCACAAGTGACTGAGGGCCAGTGAGGGCGAGCCCATCGCTGTGACAGCTGTGGCAGCCGTATAGTGGGCTGTGCCATCTGTGCAGAGTGTGTGAGCAGCAGAGGAGCTTCACTCCAGGCTTCTGTCGCAAAGAGATGCATGCCACCGAAGGCGCGCTGTCGAGGTTACGGCTTACGCCGAGCGCGGCGCAGGTTGGAGGACACCGTCACCGACGAGCGCGTTGGAGTATTCACTCCGGACAAAGACCGCTGCACAGCGGACGGTGCGGGGCGTGCCGCAAATTTAGCGGCGAGGCGCGGGACCGTCTGTGGCGAAGTGGGTCGCGTCCTCCGATTTCCGTCAACTCACGGTCCTTCCCCCGTATAGAGCCGTAATCTCTATCTGCTATCTCTCGGTCTCACGCACGTCCGAGGGGCTGAGCCCATGCTCGCTCCGCAGGGGATGTCACGTCCGTCTCTGTGGGCCTGTGCCGTGTGGCTGCATGAAAGCGCCCCAATGCGGGTCCTCAATGCGCAATGCCAATGGCCAATGCCATTACGCATTAGTAAGTTGGCGTCACAAGTGGCCCGCTCGACGAGATAATTTCTGCGACCCCGGCACCGGCTCGTCGTTTGGCCGTCGGCAGAAGGCCGAATCCTTGGCGCGGTAAGGTTGCGTGTCCGCCTCGCTCTCTGCCGACTGCCGCACGTTTGCCCTCTCCCAGGGCAGGAGTGGGTTCGGAACTGGCGCGGCATCGCGCTCATGCCTCCGCGCCTCGACAAGCGATCGGTCCGGATTGTTGCGCGTGGTTGCGAACATCTGCTTTGTCGTGTTGTCTCTTGCATATCTGTAGCGGGGCGATTGTTGTGAGTAGTACGGTGCGAATGGCCCTGAATGAAAGAAAATAGGTGCCTCGACGCGCCGATGCCGAGTGCATCGTTGCCGAGGCCGATAAGCTCGCTCGAAGTGCGTGTGGCAAAGCGCTCGCTCGAAGTGTATGTGGGGTGCAACGACGAGTAGGCCTCCGGGGTGAGCGCATGCCGCCCCCCGCCGCCATCCACAGCCGCTGACCGCTGGAGCGCCGTGAAGCAGTTGTCCATTTTCCGCCGGTGCATCATCTGTGAGCGCGTCGCACGCGGAGCGACGCCGGCGTCTCCCGAATTGATGGAGAGGTCAATGGTCGACGAATGCTGCCGGCCCTGCGGCACGTCCTATTACATCACATGAAAAGGAAGCTGGAACCGGATCACCTCGTGGGGTGCGTCAGCTTGACATTCTTAGCCGCGCCTTCCAGGAGGAGGGCCTCGATTCGATGACCCGGTAATCCCATATGTGTTGGACCTGCAACGAGGGCGTGCCTTTCCTTAAAAAACGACTCTTGACGTGCGTGCATTGACAGTTCTCTGTGGTTGGCGCGCACTTTGTGGTTTCGGTCCGGGGCGCGCTGGAGCGTCGCCTCCTCGCGCACAATAAGCTGCGAGAGGAGGCCTCCGACCTGTGGCTGTGTCCAGTCCGCCTTGTGGAACATGGCACGAAACGGCGGACGCGGGGCTCTCTTGCCGTGCGGAGTTGTACTGCGAGGGCGCGCCGAGGCCGATTGCGAAACGTTTCCGCCAGAGCTGCCGTGCGGGTGACGTCCGCTTTCCTCACACTTTCCAGCCTCGCTGCACGAGGCACGAGCTTGAGCACTTGAGCACTGGAAGGGTCGATTCCGCTGCACGCTGGTGTAGCAGCTCACGCCCCCCCCCCCCCCCCCCTCCGCCGAGGGTCGGCTCGCCCAGCAGGGTTGATTCCCCCCGATAAAATTAAAAATGATTTTTACAGCACGTGGACGGCGCTCGCCATCTCGAACGCGTCGTCCTCCGGCGGACGGAAGCTCCGCGTCGCCCGCGGCCGCTTCCCGAGCGCGCTCGTCGCGCATCCGCTCGTGGGCCTGCCGACGCGCCACGCCGGCGCCCGTGTGCCTGCTGCCTCGCCGCCGCGTCCGGCGACGGCGTCGATGCTGATTGCACACTTGCACACGTCCGCCTGAGCGTGACTCGCCACTCCACGACCTCCACGACCCTCCACGACCCTCCACACGTACCACGACCCTCCACGACCCACTCGCGGCTCTGCCCCAAACCTAAATCGTCTCACTATTTACATACATAAAACCCCCGAGAGGCGAGTCCGAGACGCGAGAGGCGTGTGGGATCTGGGAATACCTCGCCAGGACATAACCATGCTTTCTACTACAAAGGTATCGGCTCGAGCGGCGGCATCTCGTCGTCCTCTTCCTCCTCCTTACCTCTCCCGCGCATCGGGGTTGCAGATGGCCACGCAGCGGCAGGCTCCTCCCTCCGCGCGTCCCGCCGCCCAGAAGCGCCATACCCAACGCGAGGCAGCACCCACTCGGCCGTCGTGAGCGGGAGCAGCGGCGGCGGCGTGGTGGCGGCGGCGCCGCGCCAGCCACGCGGCCTGCTGCCTCCGTACCCGCCCACGACGGCGCGCTCGTGGCCGCCGTAGCTGCGGCGCGTCTCAACATGCACGATCCAGAAGGGGGAGTGCAGCGCGCCCCACAGCACCAGAGGCCGCAGCCTCTCGGGTCGCAGGCCCACCAGCTTGAGCAGGGAGGAGGCTACGAGGAGGCACACGGACGAGGCGAGCACGATGAGGACGGCGGCAGGGGCGACGTAGGCAAGCGAGACGGCGATCCGTCGCGCAAAGTCGGCGGCGGAGCGCCATGACGGTCGGCGGAGCCTGCTCGTGAGGGGAAGTCTTTAGGATGGAGGAGCAAGCTGGGGCCGAGGTGTGGCTGAGGTATAGCGGCGCGCTTAGTGCAGCCGAGGTGCAGCCGAGGTGCAGCCAAGGTGCAGCCGAGGTGCAGCCGAGAGGCCTGGGCGCACCTCCCTCCGCGCCAGCTGCAGTCGAGAGCGCATCCGAACAGGTGAGCGACAGAGAGGAGCCAGACAAGCGCCGCCGTGTGCGGCGTCAGGGCGCGGGGCGCCCAGCGGCGTCCCGTCGCGCAGAGCAGCAGTGCACCCGCCGATACGGCGACGGCACGCGCGGCGCCGAGCGGCGTCGGGTGGAGGCTGCCCGCCCACACAGCGGCCGCGAGCGCTCCAAGCCACGGCGCGAGCAGCGCACCACCCGACCAGTGGTGCAGGTCGAGGGCTGCGAGCGGGTTGAGCCAGGCCGCGCAGGCACTCTCCGCGGCGAGGTGCTGCGTGGCCATGCCGGCGGCCGAGAGCAGCAGCAGCAGCGCCGCGGGCGATGCGGCCATCTCTCGCAGCCGCCGCTGGGCGAGGAGCGACTCGGAGAGCAGGGCGGCGAGGGCGAGCGAGGCGGCAAGCGACGGGAGGTCGCCGCCGTGCAGCATATGTGGCGGGATAGTGGTCTCTGTGAGGTGCTGGTCTCACGAGCGAGAACGCGAACGACAACGTTGGAGAGAGGCCGCGCCGGGGCCAACGCGTTCGTACAGGCCTCGTCAGGTTTCGGGGGGGGTTGGGGGGCTCATGGTGCATTCACTCACACCACCGCGGCAGGACACAATTGTGTTCACTAGCAGCGGGCTTGTCTGTTTGTTTATTAATGACAACGCGCGCACACACTCTCCCAATATCATGTCCATGTGACATGTGCCATGGGGCCGCTCGAGGCAGTAGGGTGGCAGAGGGTGGTGCGTGCGCGCTGGCGCGCGAGCTTTCCCAGAGCAACAGTACACTCGATCGAGTCCGGGTTTTTTTGTGCGTATGGTTGTAAGGGCGTAGCCACGACGGGTCGGTACAGCAGGCCGACCAGAGAGTGCAGAGTGAGTGAGCACTGCCCCTCTCCAAGATCGACTCCTGTGGAGAAGCCCGCCTAGGACCATCAAGGGGAGGCCAGGTACACTTGACCCGCGCAAAGAGCTAGACGCAGCCGTCGCTATTCTACGGCCTCAGAGCGTATGCCTGCCGCCGGACGGGTGGCAGTCGTGTCGGTGGTTGGGCCGTTTTGCACGACGGCTGTGGCGGCGCTCTGGAGGGGAGGGCGGCCACTTTCGGGTGGTGGATGACCGGCTTTTGAGGTCTTGCAACCCTAGCTGTGACAGCTTTGGACAGCTCGCGCAACCCTAGGAACAGCGGGCCGGCTAGGGTTGAGGCCACAACAGCCCGGGACATGACGAGGGTGGTGGAGGTCCGAAATCACGCCGCTATGCCTCGGCTCCAGCGAGGTCTCTCAGGCCCTAGCTCATGCAGTAGCCGGAAGCAGGGAACACTCACCCCCCAGCTAAGGGCGTGTCTACGCCCTTACCCCAGCACCAGTCTTCTAGGTGCGGCGCTCGTGGCCACCACGCGCAAACCTATCGCATTTCGTGTCATGTCGGCGCGTTCTCCGCCTAGGTGGCCGTCGCGCGCGCCGATTGCGACGGCGGAGGCGCGGTGAGCATTGAGCTCGCCCCGCCCGCCGCCTTCTCCTTCGTGGCGGGGCAGTACCTCAAGCTCAACGTGGCCGCGATCGCGCGGCACGAGTGGAGCGCCCCTCCTAGATGTGGAGCACCTAGGTACAGCCCCGTGACTCCGGACCAAGCCTCTCGACACCTTCACTCTCTCTTCACACTTGCTTCTTCTCTTCTTCTTTCGAGCCGTGTGCCCAGGACTCGGACACATGCTCACGGCCTGACGTCGGTGCGCTCATGACGTAGGCACCCCTTCACCATCGCAAGCGCGCCAGGCGAGCCGCGGCTCCGACTCAAGGTGCGCGGCGTGGGGGACTGGACCGACGCGCTGAGGGGCCTCGCCCTCCGCGGCGACCTGAGGAGCGTGAGGATCGACGGGCCGTATGGCGCGCCAGCGCAGCGGTACCGCAACTACCGCCGCGTCGTCCTCGTCTCTGCCGGCGTCGGCGTCACCCCCTCCCTCTCGGTCCTTCGCACGCTCGCCCGCACCACGGACAGGCTAGCGGACGAGGAGGCGGGGGAGGTGGCGGCGGCGGCGGCGGCGGAGGAGGAGGAGGACCCGTCCCGGCGCGGCGCGGGCAGCAGTGGCCCCGCCCTGGCGCAGTGCCACCTTGTGTGGACCACGCGAGAGCCCGCCTGGCTCGACTGGCTCGGCGACGAGGTGTACTCGCTCCGCGGCAGAGTGCACCTCGCCGTCCACCTCACGGGGGGGCGGGCGGGCGCCGATGCGGCGGCGGCCGCGTTCCGCGCGCGAACTGGCATCGCGGTGGCGCGCGAGCGGCCGAGCTGGCCCCTCCTCCTGGCCAGCCTTGCCGGACAGCAGCCGGAGGGGGGCGGCGAGGAGGTGGGCGTCTTTGTATGCGGGGGCGCGGCCCTTGCGGCAGAGGTTGAGGCGGAGTGCAGCAGGGCTGGCGCGGGCTTCCGGTTCCACAGCGAGTCGTTCTAGCATGGTAATGGTGTGGTGTGGTGGTGAGGGCTGGTGGCCCCGCACCTCATCCACCCGGGTGCATGCCCCTGATGCATCGCAGAGCGGACGTCACTGATTGCGAAAGGCGGGGGTGTGGCCTTGGGCTGGCACGGCGCACTGCGGGCGGTCGTGTGGTGCCTGAGAGCGTGCAGGCGGGGGACTGAAACATCACCGAAAACTAAGAGACACGTGTGTGACTGAAATCTCTAAAATCTGAACGTGGGGGAGCTGCACGGGGGGCGCGCAGCGTGGGGCAGGCCGCGCGGCCAGGGGGGTCGTGAACGTGATCCAAGTCGCAAGTGTCGAAACATCAGTTTTTGTGGAAAACACACGAGCATCGGAACGGCTGTGGTGTCCGCGGCTGCGGCACCCGCCACCGCACACCGCACCGCAATGCGCGCTGTCCGCTATGCGTATGAACGCGTGTGTCATAAGTAGGAAGTGTATATACTCTCCCGTCTGTAGCGTGCGAGACAGCACTCCGCTACTTTTGGCCGTCGCCAAAGTTGGCCGGTTTGAAGACATGGAAGGAGTCGGCAGCCGTGCAGGCAAGGGCGCCCGGGATCTGCGGATGCCAGTGGACCTGGCAGCGGCAGGGGGCGAGCGGCGATTGGGGAGGAGGGGGCGGCGGCGGCGAGACCAGCCGCGAGGGGTCGGGCGGCGAGAGTGGTACGGCGTCTGCGGAGGGCAGGGAGATGACGGGGAGAGGTGGCGTGCGTGCGTCCGCCAGCGCGCCTCCTTCATGTCGCGTTGGCCTTGGTGCACAAAGTACAGCTGCGGCGGCAGGTCACGCAAGTCGTCACGCCCGCGCGCCGCCGAGTCGGCCTCGGGGTCGTCCTCGAGCGCCAGATCCCAGAGCGTGACCTGGTCGGCAGCGAGGCGGCCGCTGAGGAGAACAATCGGCGGGCGGCAAGCGGCGGCGGCGGGCGGCGGCGGCGGGCGGCGGCGGCGGCGGCTTTTGGGCGTGTGCAGCAAGGCGCGGTGCGGAAGTCTTCTGTCGGTGGTGCCTGGTCGTCCGCGCCGGCGACGGCGATAGTCGACGACTCGTGTGGCGACCACTCGACGGAGGTGATTGGGCCGCGGTGCCACGTGAAGAGCGCAACCGGCTCCCCCGAGCGAATCGAACGCAAGTCCCAGACCTGAGGGAAGGGGCGGGGAGGAGGAGGCGCCACTCGTAACAGCAAGCGCCCGTGGGGCTCGCGCCACGAAGAAGGGAGGATGGTGCGGGTGTGTGTGAGCGGCTGCGTGCGTGTCGCACGCGCGCGGGGCGACGGCGGGGCCGCCACCCGGAAGGAGCCGTCGTCGGCGCCAGACACAACCAGGTAGTTGACCTGCTTGCTCCACGAGATGACGTTGACGTCAGCGCCGTGCTGCTCGTCAACTGTGATCGCCGACGCGCCTGCGGACGTGTCGCGAGCGCGTCGCTGGCGTGCCGTGGGCGTGGGTGGGGCGGTAGGGGAAGCCAGCGGCGTCGGGCAGCGCCGGTGGCTGGCTGTGGAGGCCGGAGGAATCTGGCGGTGGGTGGCAGGAAGTGTCTCCCAACTCCCAACTGTCTCGGAAGTGTCTCGGAAGTGTCTCGGAAGTGTCTCGGCGCGCCCTTGCGCCGCACGTCCCACACGCGGACGCTCGAGTCTACGCCGCACGACATGAAGACGCCCGCCTCGACGGGCGACCACTGCACGTCCTCGACCGACCCCACGTGACCCTCGTACGGCGCCGCGTCCACCGCCCACCCGCCGCCGGCCGAGCCGCGCCACGCATGGATCTTGCCCGCGCAGTCTGCCGACGCGAGCGCCCCAGACGCGACCGGCGACCAGTCTAGCGCGTACCTACTCGCGACCCGCCGCTCTGGGCAGGCGCACCTCCCACCTCACGCAACCGCCGACCCTCTTGGCCGCGTACCCCTCGTCGCCGTGCCCGCCGAACGTCTTTAGCGGCTCCCCGCGCGCAGAAGCGCCGCCGCCGCCCTTACCCGGCGCGTGCAGGTTCCCCAGCTGGTGGGAGAGGTCCCACAGCCGGACGGAGGTGTCTTCGCACCACGTGGCGCACACGTGGGGCGCCTGTCGGGGAGCAGTCCGGACACGGGTCGGCGAGGCGTGCTCCTCCGGCGGCGGCTGGCTAGGGCTGGGGGCAGGCCACATCGACGGGTGTGTGCAAGCGTCTCATCGAGGCCTTGGCGAGGCAAGCAAGGAGGAGAGGGGAGGGAGGGGGGAGGAGGGAGGAGGGAGGAAAGGGGGAGGGAGGGGGGAGGGGCCCGCTGCGGTGGCGTCGTACACGTATAACTGGTCTAATGACAGATTAAGAGGGGGGAGAGGGGTGGCAGGGAGGAGAGAGGTTGCAGGGAGGAGAGAGGCGGCAAGCGAGGCGGCTGCGAGGCGCCTGCGGCATGAGCTTGAGGCGGTTCACGCAGCCTGGGTGGGCGATCGTCTGGCACTCGAGGAGAGCGTCCTCGTCCGCGCCCTCCTCGTCGTCCGACTCGGGGTCTGCGGGTCGAGGAGGGGGGTTGGGAGGCGAGGGCGGCGCCGGAGGCGGTGGCAAGGCGGGCGAGGACTGGCGAGGTCGGGCGAGTGCTGGCGACGGCATGGCGTTGCCTGGGAATTCTCTAGCAGGCAGCGACCAGGCGGTCGGCAGATTCTCGACACGTGGTTCGAGCGTGCGCCGGAGGCGTCTCGCAAGTGCTTCGGAACGTGTCGCAAGTGTCTGCGACGGCGTGTCTGCCACGGCGTGTGGGGCGTGCAGGGAGGTGTCGCGTGCGTCTGCGCACCAGACTCGTCGTCGTGCTTTGTCCGGTGCATCGCGCTCATCTTGAGGCAGAGGAGCCGATTCTGGCCGCGGGCCTCGGCCTGCGTCCCGGCGACAAAGTAGGCCGTGTGCGGGAACGCGGCGCGGTCCTCGCCCAGCGCGTCCGGCACCACCGCGAAGGAGAGGCAAGGCCACTCGAGGCGAGCGCGGTGCAGCATGTCGTACGCTGACTGCCGGCCGCGGGCATGCGGGTTAGGGCTGTGCGGCGCGCGTCCGGGAACCGTCCCAGAGGCAGCGGTGCGGAGAGCTTGCTGCTGGCCAGCAGGTAGGCAGGCGTGTCAGGGATGTGTCTGCAGAGATCTCGGAACGGGCACCGCATCCACGCGAAGCTCCTCGCCCTCCTCGATGGCATCGCCCGCGCGGTAGAAGCGGCCCCCAATGGAGGGGTTGAGGCCGTCGTCGGGCATGTCCGCTGAGGAGGAGCCGCCGCCGCCCGCGGCCGCTGCCTCCAGCTCCGCCTCCTCCATCTCTGCCGCCTCCTCTCCCGCCCCGTCGACCACATCCTCCTCCTCAAATTCGTCCTCAAATTCGTCCTCAAATTCGAGCTCCTCGGCCAGCGAGCTGCCATCCGCAGTCGCCTCGGCCGTTGCCTCCTCTCGCGACCGCACCTCCGCGGCCTGCGCGCTGCGCTTTGCCTTCATCGTCGACTCGTGGACAGCCGGTTTTTTATTTTTTTCGCCTCCTACCTTAACGGTCCATTAACATACGGTCAGGCCGAGCGACGGCGGCGGCTATGTGGCGTACAAGAAGGCGGACTACGCGCACGCCCTCTCGCGCTCGGACACCGACGTGCAGATGTACCTGTTTGAAACCTTCGGCGGGTGGTGCAACGCGGTCAAACGGCTGTTCTACCAGATGAAGGACAAGGTGCGCAACAAGCTCTCGAAGCGGCAGCACGAGGACGAGGCGAGCTGGTCGACGCGGTCGTGGCTTTCGCTGCAGGCCCAGCGCATGTCAGTCGCGCTGCAGCTCGCGGCGGCGGAAGAGATTGCGACCGAGCTCAGGCTCGCCGCGGCGTCGGAGGACGCCGCCGTCGCCTAGACTCCCCTGCGTCACTACGTGCCTCCCCGTCTTTGTAGCCTGGCGTTTGTGCCCCGTTTGTGCCGCGTCCCGTGCCCCCGAGTTCATTTCATAAAAATTAACATACGGTTCATGTTGTAGGTATATGGTTCATGTAGTCCCCACAATCGCTGTCGTGGGATCGTTTCTCATGTGATAAGTTTGGACTTTCTCTTTCAACCCTCCTCCCTGGGGCTCACGGCATACGTGACTTTCGTCGTGTGTGCCCCATGCCGGCCCTCGCGTCCAGCAGCTCCGACTCCGAGGAGGACGAGGAGGAGCGCCGGCAGCGCGAGGCGCTCCTCTCGTGCGTTGTCACCGGCGACGAGCTGCGCCAGGCGGAGAGCGCTCGGGCGGAGGCGCGGCAGGCGCGGCAGGCGGAGCGGGCCGCCGACACCGGCTGCACGCCGCAGACGGGCTTCGAGAAGCACAGCCAGAACCGGCTGCAGGCGCTGCTCGAGCGCACCTTCGAGACCGCGGTGCAGCCTGGTGTCTGGGAGCCGCCTCAGCCGAGCCGCAGACGGAGCGGCTCAAGTAGCACGTCGGAGCTGCGGCTGTTCAGCGTGAGCGCCGCCGCATTTCGGCACGTTCACCCGCTCGAGAGTGCGGCGGCGGGCGATGGCGATGGCGCGGGCGCGCCGAGCGCCGGTCGTGAGGGGGGAGCGGAGACAAAGGCGGGGAAGGGCGAGGCCGCCAACAGCCCAACGGCGGAGCGCAAAGCGAAGCGCAAAGCGGAGCGAAAGGCCGAGCGCAAGGCGGAGCGGAAGCGGGAGAGGAGGAGAGCGCGGGAGGGGGCCGGCGTGGGCGACGGGGGAGTGTGACAGTTTTGAGTTCGTATAGATCAAGCCGAGAGAGAGTCGGTTTGCACGCGCGGTGACGCGCCTGGCTCTCCCAGGTGTCAGCCCACGCGGAGGCACGCCAGGCCCCGGGGTGCCGGCCGTCACTCGCCTAAGCGCCTAAGCGGCCTAAGCGCCGGGGGGTGCTTAGGCGCTTATATAGGCGGCCCTTGCGAGTTGCGTCTTGCGAGCGTGGCGGTGTGGTGATATTGTGATACAAATGACCCAGATTACACTCATGATGCTCTTGCGTCTTGGCTTGGGTTCACTGCTCAGAGAGCAGCCTCGCCACGTCCACTGTCTACCACCGGCCCTGGTCGCACACTGCCGCTGCGCTGCGCTGGTGCGGCTACTCATCGTCATCAGCCTCATCACACGCCTTCGCCAGCGCCGTGCCTCATCCAGCCGGTTCTTGTACTCTTGTATCGCTGATTGACCGTGTCCGCACCTGCATGGTCCAGCAGGTCGCCGTGAAAAACCCAAGCGACAGAATGGAAGCCACGGTCGCATTGATGTCAGATTGATGTTAGTAATGCGGCATGCTCTCCAGGTCCGCGAGTAGCGATGCGAAGTCGACTGACTCCATCTCATTCGTGAGCAGCGCCTCCGTCTCGGAAGGGTTGGGCGACAACACCGGGGAGGCCATATCGAGCGGAGTTCGAACCGCTGGGTTCCGCTCCTACCCAGATAGGGGGTCTGTCGGCACCCGTTGGACCCTATGCAATAGGTAGGTAGGTCCGGTTTTGACCGCCCCAGAGGGCCCCGCAATAGGTAGGTAGGTGGCGGTGGTGTGGGGGGTTGGGGGGGTGGGGGTAAAAAAACCGCTTCGCTCGCGCGGGAGACGGCGCGTTTAGCCGCGAAACGGGGCCATGCCAGACGAGTCGCCTGCGGCCGGGACGCCAGCCGAGACGGGTGCCGCACCGCGGTACAAGCCGGCGCGGCGGGCGCTGGGAGCCTATTCACAGAGGGCTAACGGGTATTTTTTCGCTTCGCTGCGCGGCCTGGGAATAGGTAGGTAGGTGGGGCACGGAGCCTGGCGGTCGGCGCCCGCAATAGGTAGGTAGGTAGGGCGTTTTGGCGCGACTCGGTGCCCGCAGACCCCCTATCTGGGTAGGAGCCGGAACCCTGCGTTGAGCGCTTGTTGGATCGCTATTGTTGTTAAATAAATAAAAACGGACACCTCTCTACTGTTAGATGGGTAAAAAGGAACAGGTCCCCGGCCTTGCGATCTTTGTGCAGGGTTCTTTGTGGGTGTGGTCGGCGACTAGCCGGGGTCGTCCTCCCGATGCGCGATGGGGGACTAGCACTAGCCGTCTTCCACATGGTCCCTCGCGGGTCCCTGCTGCTCCTAATCTCTTCGTACATCCTCCTGCTGATCTCCGCGAAGTCCTGCTCCCTCCCTCGTCTCGCCCTGCGCGTCTGCTCCGCCTCACCGTCTTCTGCCCTGCGCTATTGTCGTTGTTCGGAGTTCGCTGCCGTGGCGTTCACGCGATTTTGGTAACGCAACATATAACTAACATCTAACTTTTCAATCGCGATGTTGCTTCGAAAACTGATGGCTTCGAGAGAGCTCACTGAGAGCTTTTACATGGTGTGCGAGCCGTTTTCTGGCTCCGTTAACGGGAAGGCTATTCCGACATTTTTCCACCCGTTTGTGCCCTGTGCGCTGTGGTCACCTCTCATGACCTCAGCCAGAGCCTCGACCCCAGAACTCGAGCAATCGCCCAATACGAGCGTGTATTGTGCCCGCTCGACCGACACGCAAACGGGAAAACGGCCACACAGAGAGGAGAGAGAGGCGTCCGTGCAGAGAGCGAAATGAGCAGCCCCGTCGCCCGTCCGCGCACCGCGGAGCCTTCGAGGGCCGACTCGCTTCATCCCTCCAGGAGCTGAGCGCGAAGCCGATCGGGCAGCAAGTCAGACGCCTTGACGCCCTCAGCGTCGACGGTCTCGACGTCGCTGCCGGCCGTCGCGAGGAGCAGCAGGGCTTCCTCCTGCTGCTCGACGACCGAAACGTGGAACGGCGTGAAGCCCATTTTGTCCTTCTTCTCCTGGGCGGCGCGCGCGCCCTTCGCGGCCAGCAGTCGCTCCAGGATCGCGATGTGGCCGCGCGAGGCCGCGCGATGCAGCGGTGTTGAGCCTCCGCGATCTGCGTGCCGCACGTCGGCGCCAGCTTCGAGCAGAGCTGCGACGATTGCCAAGTGGCCCTTGGAGGCCGCGTAAGTGAGGGCGGACCCTCCCGCGCTCGTCGAGGCCGCCACGTCTGCGCCGCTCATGAGGAGCACCTCCACCGCCGACAAGCGGCCAGCACTCGCAGCGACGTGGAGAGGCGCCCACCCACCCTCGTCCGCTTTGTTGACGTCGCCGCCGCCGGCAGCGAGCTGGCGGAGAACCTCGGTGTCGTCTGAAAGCGCGGCGTGGTGGAGGGCGGTGCGACCGTCCGCGTCTACCTCGGCGGTGGGTTGAGAGGCAGTCATCATGCAGGACAGTGTGTGCAGGTGCTGGCTTCCACGGCAACAGGCTCCGCATCTCGGGTTCCCTCGCCCCCCGGGCAAGGGGCGACCCCGTGAGGCGTGGGAGTGCCGGAGGGCGCCTATTGACAAGAAAATACGTCGTATGTTCACAGACCTTGTTATTGACAAGAAAATA